TGGTTGCTTTTTTTTTTCTTTCTTATGTTTACTCTTTTTTTTTTTTTTTTTTTTTTTTTTTTTTTTTTTTTTTTTTTTTACCTGCCAATCCCAGATAATATGCTGCGAGAGAAAATCAAGTTCAAGACAGGTTTCTCTCTCTGCTATTGGTCATAATTTCCATTTTTCTTTAAAAAAAAAAAAAAGAAAGAAAGAAGAAGAGAAAGAAAGGAAAAGGATGGAATGCGTGCTCCCCTGAAAAGGCGGTGTTGTCAACTAAATATAATAATGATTATGATTATTGCTATTACGAGATGACGATTGCTGCCGTAAAGCCCCACCCCCCGCTTTCATTGTTTGTGTTCTGAACCAGATCCAGATGATGAGTTTAACTTCTCATTGTCACCTCGATGTCACTTGAATAGTCACAGTGAGAAACGATTTTCCATTGTTTAATGATGTTGCTACGGTAATTTTGTGGAACCATGAAATGCACATGTATGCGGTGAACGTTTCAAAATTGTTATTTTTTTTCAATACCCGCTCGTTATAAAAAAGGTCGAATTTCCATCATTTCTAAAATTTGTGTCATAGAATTATCATAATTAGGTGAAAACGAACATTCCCTTGAACATGAATTTCGTCCCGTATAATGCCGACCACATAATTCCCCAGGACATTACCGTCCAACTCCCATTACCCCTAAAGGCCGATGATCTTCTGGCAAAACCAAGGAGAGGGAAATTGCCCACGAGACCCCCCAACAATTTCCTGATATTCAAGACGGCCTACACTCGCGTCCTCCAGTCGAAGGGGCACTGGGACCTCCGTATGAGGGAAGTTACCAGTAATGCTGCACAGGCCTGGAAGATAGCCTCACCTGAGGTAAAAGAGGAATGTGGCAAACTGGCGGGAGTTGCAAAAAAACGTCACGAAGAAGTATACGGACCTTCTCCACCACGCCGTCGTCGTAACAGAAGACGGCAAGGTCGCCGGATGGTCACAGAAGATCCCGCTCCACAGGTTTCACCGTCAAGCTCTCCGTCGGAGGACTTTACCTCATCCATCGCTCCTTCTTCCATCCAGGTCCAGACGTTCTACTTCAACAACCTGATATCATCAATTTCCGGTACTGGTGACTGGTCTGGTTACGAGATTGATTTGCAGAACTCCGGGTACCTCCAGCAATATATATAAAATTCCATGTAAAAAATCTCAATTATGTACAGAATTTATGTTTATATATATTCCAACATATTCACTTTTCACCTCTAGCCTTTTCTATATTTACATATTTATTCATACTTATTTAAGATCAATTTAAGATTAATTACGAAAAAAAAAAGAAAAAGAATACGCATTGTGCGTATTATATCGTCAATTATAAAACGTGTGGCAACGCGTAATAATTACAACACTAATCTTATACTCCGTTAGAAATCGTTTATAACTCGTTCACCGTGTAATATATATATATGTATGTATGTAATATATAATATATATGTATATCGTATGTACAATATATATGTATACAATATTTTTTTAACACTAATTCGCGAGGACAAAAAAAAGAAAACAAAAATTGGCAAAACAAAATTGCGCAAATAAAATAATAATAAAAAAAAAAAAAAAAACCAAATAAATAAATAAAACAACGATGACCGAATTTTTGCGTAGACGAACGTGTCTGTGGTTTTTTCATTATTTTTTTTTTGAAAATCCTCAGTTGATTTTTCTTTATTTTCTTTATTTATTATTATTATTTTCTAAAAGGTCTTTCGAGTTCTGCGGGTCACCCACCTCAACGAAAGGAGGACACACGATGATGACATAACCTTAAAAGGAATTTGCTAAAATCCATTGTTTTTTAGCGGGAAGCAGGGATAATTGAACAATAAATGCACCATTCTTCTCAAGCTTTTGTCCCTCATTATCTGCAGTTTGTACATAACGTGTGCATATCAAGTTATTGGCCGCCAAGGGATTCCGAATATGCATTCCCATTAGCGACAGCTATTCTACCTTCGCCTTTTTTTTTTTTTCTTTTTTGTCACATTGATGTTTGGTGGCGGTACCCTCGTAACGACACATGACAGAGACGGTCCCCAAATCTTCAATTTGTTTCAGGAGTCAAAAAAATAAATACGTACTCCCAACTTGACAATAATAAAATTTAAATTTGATTGGTTTCAGTCTTGCCAAAAAAGTTACTATTGTTTAAACGAAACTTCTTTTTCATAAATTAGTACGACAATGTGAACGACGATTGTTACACTATTGTTTAGATTTCCTTCTCTACGGGCGCATGACCATTTTAAGGGTCGGATGTAACCATGTCGATCGATATTAGTAATGTTTCTGAACAATAATTCTCAAACGAGCTTAAGGAGCTCATTCTTCTCTTGTGTCCGGTAACCGTGATCCTCGGGATTTCTCCCGCGCAAAAAAAAAAAAAAAAGAAAAAGAAAAAAGAAAAAGAAAAGATGTAAAACATTTATCCTAAAATTGATCGTCTCAACATTGCTTATTTAGGCTTTTGTTTTTCCAACTCTCGCTTGTTTATTCCGACCGGAATTTTATTTCGGACTTGGAATGTATGATAGAGGTGGTCCTCATAATTTAACAGATAACAAATGAACTCGTAATAAGAATCACAATCATATGATGGTCGATGGTCTGGACTTTGTTATTCGTGCTTGGCTGCATTGATACAAGGTTGTGAACGATGGTTGGTGAAATCGACTTTAATTTGTGCTTAGCTAGCTAGCT